GTCTCTGCAGTTCACACACTCGCCGGAATCGCCTTCCTTTGGTATCTTGATCAGGTGTCCTTTCCAGTCTGTTGGTACTTGTTCTTCATCCCAAATCTTAATGAAGAGAATATGGTATACTTTTGCAGTTACTGCTACGTCTGCTTTGATTACCTCTGCCGTAATATTGTCTGCTGCTTTGCCGCTCTTGATTTGTCTGATGGTCATACTGATATCTTTAACTGTTAGTGTTCCAACGTTCATTGGGAGGTCTGTGGGTGCCGCTTCAGTGCTGGGTGGGTTCCGCGGTGTAGGTTTATTCAAGATTTATCCAAAAAGTTCTTCCCACTTGTTCCTCCATTTTTCAATGTCGGTGATAGGTTTACTTCCCTTGTTCTTCACTCGTAATTTCGGTTTACGACATTTCCGAGCAAGCGTCTTCTTTGTGTCATAGCGTCGTCTCATGTTGCCTTCCCTTGCAGCTTTATGTGCTATCACTGTTAGGTCTTTCACATATTTTTGCTTATTAGCTCTGATGCTCCCCTTCATGTCCCTCTTCGCTTCTGTGCCTTGGCTTTCTTTGAACTTGATCGGTTAATACTGACTGCTGCCTTCTTGTTCCTCCTTTCTTTAATCTTATCCAGTGTATGAACACAGATTTATCCCTTATTATGGCACTTCTTCTGGCCAAGAAACTCTTGAAATGCGGAAGCTATTGCTTCTTTAATCCCTTTGCAGTTGTTCTCCATGGAGATTTTGTATCCATTGAGTAGATCGCGAAAGGCCTGGAATCTATTGTTGAGGGCTATCTTGAATTCGCTGAGTTTGTCAGCATCCGGAAGGAACGCCGTATTAGACTTTTGTGATGTTGTTCGGCCCATTTTCCAGTGCTTCTTGAGTTTCAGTTTCATTTTAGTCATTACCAAGTAATAAACTGAGGCTATATCAGCTCTGCTCGTGGTTTTCACATCCTCCCTGGTCCTTCTGAACTTTTTATTGCTGCGGATATGGTCGATTTAGTTCTCTGTAGGGTGATCAGGCGAAACCCATGTGGCGTTTTTATGCGTTTGTGTGGGAATATTGTGCCGCTGATGACCAGTTTGTTGAAGGCGCATAGGTTAGCATATCTTTCATCATTTTCGCTCCTTTATCCCAGTCTATATCGTTCCAAGATGTCTTCATATCCAGTGTTGTCCATGCCAACCTTGACATTTAGGTCTCTTATCAGAATAGTTAAGTCCTTTTATGAGCATCTCTCGACGATTGACTGCAGCCCGTTCCCACTCTTGTCGTTGGTGGGTGCATAGCACTGGATGATATTGATTGCATTCCTGTCTTCATTTGATTTAAAAGATGTCTGATGATCCTGTATCCATGAGATTCCCATCCTATCAGCTCCTTGTGTGCTTGTTTAGATAGCTTCAGTGCAACTCCTTGTGTGTGTAAGGCATTTTCTTCTTCATGGCCGGAGTATAACAGTATCTCTCCTGAAGCTAGTCTTAGTCGTTCAACCTGTATCCAATGTGTTTCACTGATTCGAAGAACCTCTAGGTTATATATTTTCAATTCTTCAGCAACTTGGATGACTCTATCACAATATGTAAACATTCCATGTATCTCTACTAATGGTTGATCTGGTTTTAAGAAGGGGCGTCAACCTCATGACTTTCGAAAGAACTCGACTTTCATCATGACACGTCATAACTCCTATGAATGAAGACCTTCGGATTGCAAGGTGAGGGCTTAAATATTTTGAATTGTTTGTTCTAGTTAGAGTTTTTCAACCAGTTGGTCCGGGCTAGGGACTGGAAGTAGCCACATAAGGACTGCAGGTGTAGTAGATAAACAAATTATGATGGAACAATTAACCACAAACTAATGACGCAATCAAACTGATGATTTGTTCGGATAGCTTGTGACAAATAAAACCTTCAGCCAGTTGATAGATTATAGATTACTTACTGCTGCCAGCATCCAACGGTGTTAATGTCTATCCATGGCCTTGCGCAACCTCACGTACTTTCTTTGGTGAGCACGCGAGACCGGAGGTCCTGGGACCGAATCTTGCGAGTAGCGGGGATCGTGGACACTCACTGCTGATGAGTCCCATACTAAGACGAAACAGCCGTTCATTGCTTTCATACTTTTAATGTTGGTCTAACATTGATCGATTCATGATTTCAAAGTAGCGAAAAAGGATGGCGTGAGAAATAATATCCAACTAATGAATATCCATTACGGGGTTGTGAAGATTGTTTATCAGTGTACTATTTTATTAGTAATAAAATTGGAAATTATCTTATAAATTGAAGAAAAAATAAGTAACAATTACTTTCACAGTTCATCTATTCATCTTCAAGTGATTCATTATAAAAAAATGATAAAAAAAATACTGAATCTCAATGATTAGAAACTAGTCATGACAAACGTAATCGATAAACTTTTATTATTAGTGTAGAAGATTGAAGAGATTGTTGAATTTATGACTCTCAATTATTTAACTTCAGTTGACTAAATTACTATTATTTATTTATCACTCAACGTCTTTACTAAATCAGAGAAGTGTACCATAAAGAGTTGTTCCTCCCTCTTTTCTCTTCTAATTTATTCTACATGATCCGTCATCTTCTACAGAAAACACTTTCATCAGCCATGAAGATGATCTCACTATTTGTACACCAATTTCTACTCATTCACATTCTCTGAGAATGAATAAGTTCTTATCGCTCACTGAATGATAGTCTAACGTTAATAGTCCCACACTTAATCTTTCAAAATGTCAGGCTTTTAATTTCAGCCTAAGATATTAACAAGAACTAAACACCCTATCGGAATCCCATGAATTTTCTACCATTGGAGATTCTATGATAAAGACAGTATGAACGGTTTTTTACTATTGGTGTAAGTTTCTCTTCTGATCTCTTATGATCTTCTCATTATTTACTAATGTAGAAAAAAGCTTTCCGTTTGACTTGTTATATAAAGAAGCAATATACTTCTGGCCTTATGCGACATTTACGCTTTTTTAACCCTTACAAATTACCAATTATCCTTTACTGTTCTCCATCATTCTTTTCTGTACTTTTGACAAGAGATTTTGTAGTGTTACGGAGAATGCTTAAAATAGTTAGCAGATATTGTAAGGAATCTTTTGAAGTAATTAAAAGTATGGTAGTGAAAAGACAGTTAAAAGCTTGTAAACTCCTGGGAAAATTTTATCTTATCTGATATTAACCATCTGCTTCATTAATGTATTTCTCTTTGATATATAATCAGGTTGAACAAGATGCTAATACATTAGAATCTGTGCATTCAAGTAAAAGGGCAAAAACTCTGTGGTACCTTATTCCGCAAATATACAATGTGATAAATATATGATAAGAATGGATGTAGTCAAAAACTTAAATTTTTAAACATGTTCCTCAATTAAAAATTATAGATATTCTCTATTTTTGTTTATTTTGTGAAGGGAACCTGTTGAAATATTCGGTGCTAAAAATCCCATATTGTACTAAACAAATATCAATTAATAAATACATTAATATCATTATCATTACTTACTTACCTACTTTACTTACACCTGTTACCCCCCAACGGAGCATAGGCCGCCCACCAGTTTTCTCCAACCAACTCTGTCCTGGAATTCCCTCTCCAGTTCTGTCCAATGTTTGTTCATTCTTCTCATATCTTTTTCTATTTCTCGGCGTAATGTGTTCCTTGGCCTTCCTCTTTTCCTTTGACCTTGAGGGTTCCATGTGAGGGCTTGTCTTGTGACTCAGTTCGGTGCTTTCCACAGTGTGTGTCCTATCCACTTCCATCGCTTCTTCTCGATTTCCTCCTCCACTGGAATCTGGTTTGTTCTCTCCCACAGTTCGTTGTTGCTGATGGTGTCTGACCAACGAATCCGAAGTATTTTGCGTAGACAACTGTTAATCAACACTTGTATCTTCTGGATGATGGCTTTCGTAGTACTCCAAGTTTCCGCTTCATACAGTGTAACTGTCTTGACATTTGTATTGAAAATCCTGTTTTGGTGTTGATTGATACTTGTATGGAGTTCCAGATATTTTTCAACTGTAGAAATTCAGCCTTCGCTTTACCGATCCGCACCCTCACATCTGTATCAGATCCACCTTGGTTGTCGATGATGCTCTTATCATTACTCGAGTTCCAAGAATTCGATTCAAATCAAAAAATCATAAATAATTTAAGCACAAGAAGGATAAGTGGGTTTTCTCCTCAATTATATCTTTTTACAGCATGATTTTAGTTTGAAGCCTTAAAACCAAATTGTTGTTATGAACTCATTACACTCCATGTATGAGATATGGAATCATGTAAGGTAAATCGTGTTGTTCGGATATAAAATTGTAAACATTTGTCTACTATTTGGTTAGAGCTGAACAAGTTTATGAAAAGTAAACTATTGATAGTTTTTACAAAGCTTCACAAAGATAGCCCTCGAAATTGGGTTTGGATAAAACATACCAATATAACAAAGTTCACAAGAACAAGTAAAGTGTTTGTTGCAGTTTGAGTTGGTCGTATAGTCACAACAAAATGAACCTTCAAAATTGTCGACATAGGTTGAATAATTCAGTGTAAAAGAAATACAAGCCAGAAACATTAACAAACTAAAAGTGTTATTAATTCTTCATTTAGCAGTGAAATGAATTTTCGAAAACTATGTATGCATAGTTTTATAAAGCCGTAAAATCTTCCTAACTTTACACATGAGTATTGTTTATCGAAAATTTTATCTGATTCTTCAAAGGTCGATGACATTAGTCGAAGTTTTCAAGTGCTTATTTAATTTCAGCTTTCCAAAACAAACAGCGAATCTGCCTAAGTAGTCGAGTGGATCGACCTAGTTTTTATTTATTTTTTAACTACTGAAATCATGTATAGTAGTATATATTGTAATAATCCTCTTAGCCAATCATTTTCAAGTAATTATTGACCAATCATCTACCTGTTTTCCATAATATATTCTGTAACCTGACTTGAATCAGTCAGTTGTTCATACAATTCTTTGAGAATGTCGGTTACCAGTGGTATCACTGCTCCGGTTCAACTATGTCGAAGATTGTTTGGTGAACCTGTATCATGTATACGTATTCAACAAACTTTAGAAACAATTATACGTAAAGATTTAGATCGTTTCCAAAATAAATGGAATTTCCAACCATCTAAAATTGTATCGGAGAATAAAATTCGGAAGCCTCTTTCTGTTCATCAATTGCACAATGGAAATTTACAAAATAATTCTACAAATGAATTCATTTTGGAACCTGTTCAATCACCTCCAAGTTTCTACATAAAATCTCCACGAAAATTAAAAGCATTTCGACGTCTTCCAATGTCAGTAGCCCAAAAAACACGTATGGAACTCAGTAAAAAGTCTGCAAACGATGAACTTGCACAATTCACTTATTCATTTACTCCATCATATAACTTGTCTAATATTGATAATTCATTAAATGACCATCAGAAATCTGAACTAAACTTTCCTTTAACAACAGAATCAATTAATACAGTACCATCTAACCAACCACCGCCAACATCTTCATCAACACCATACAAAGTAAATTGTACATCACAGCTAACTAACAAATCATCAACGGAAACCGCAACAATAACAACAACAACAACATTACCTGTCACTCCAATTATCATCCGTTCAGATAATAATAACAATAACGCAATGTTACCATCAAGTTCCAATTCTACTTCTCAACATCCAATTAAATTAATAAAATCAGAACGATTAAGTTTGAAAAAATCTGGGCCTAAAGTAACAGGTAATTTTCATAATCTGTTTTGTGTTTTGTTGATTATCGTGTTTGAAAAATTATCGGAAATCAATAAGTTTTTAGTTTGTTTTTTTTTTGAACCACCTTACTCCTACCTTTCTTTTTCTAATTGGTTAACTGATTCAATATATAGATAGTTGACATGAATATTAATATCTATGTATATATTCATCTATAGTGAATTAGTAGAAAAAATTAGCATGAATTAAAAAATGAAATAGTAGAAGTATTAAAATTAAAATTTTTAAATATTTTTGATTCATTCGAATGTGTAGACAGTTTTAATATAAAGATAAATTGTGGCGATGAGTGTTTTCAGCATGAACAAGTAAAAACAGTAAATATAAGAGTGTAGTATATAGTTTTCTTTTTCAGTGGTAAGGAATGCGAAGTAACTGCCTCATGTTGAATAACAATGATTGCATAATAAACTAAGTAGAAAATAATAAATATATATATTTCAAATTCTTATTTGATGATAGAATTGTGATTGATGGGCTTTATATACTTGGTTTCATTAAAATGAATCTAGGTAGAGATTGCAATTTAAATCAATTAAACACTGTATTATCCTTCTCTATGAATAATAGCTGTAATGAATTTTTAAAAAAAATTTACACTGTTAATTGTTTCCTTATGATTACCTTACTCGTGAACGCCTAACCTCTATATCACTAAGCTGACATCCAACAGTGCTACTATTTAACACTGATGGATTCATGCCTAAAATGAACTTCAACAATCTCCACAACCCTATTGTGGCTATCACATACTCATTAGTGACTAGCTCTGTGATGGAATTCTCGGAGTTATAGTGAGAAGCCGTAACCGGTGGATTCCAACCGTATTGTATGTGAGGCAATAGATGAGGTAATGTGATTGATTGTGGTTGATTGAAGTTACATCATTTGATTATTTATTTGTGAACAAACAGTAGAGAACAATAAAACTGATAGAATAAGATTATTAGCGTAGATAGATGGTAGCTAACTGAAGAATACCGAGATAATTCACACAACATACGCATATACCAAAGTGGCTGATTAATTCCACTGTTAACTATCAAAGAAAAAATCCAAATACCCAATACAAATGAAATAACAGAATAAAAATAAATTTGTACTTTTGCAAGAATTCTCAACTGTCAATTGCAGATTTACATTGTTTTCTAAAAGTAAATTTGAAAAATAGAAACTTATATTACTCTAATTAATCCTGTTAAACACTGCAATAATATACGTTCTGTTTATTAATTAAATAGGAACACTTTTTCTCACAGTTTCAAATTTCATCCTGTTGTTTAGTTAATCTCTCCAACATTAATTCTGTCATTATATCATAGTATTTAACTATTCGATAAGATGTTATGAATAGAAGTCAATATACTAATAGTAATAACAATAATAAATTTATTCTAAAAAACGATAAACAAAACTAGCTTGTATTTTGTACAACTACAGTCAGATATGGTTCAAGTAAGAGGAAAAATTCAACACCAAATAATATAACACACGTGGTAATTAGTATCGGTGTGCAAAATCTATTCATTACACTATAAAACAGATGTCAAAAAAATTATGATAATTATAATACACTGAACAGATTACTTGTAGATTGTTTCACCTTATATTGATTGTATCTATTACCGATTATTCTCGACTAAAGTACTATTGATGATCAATGAACACTGGACACCTGTCTCTACCAAATATAAAGGAGATGTGCACTACTGAAGAGCTCCATACTTCATACATAACAGTTATTCCGGGCTCCTTAGTTTCCAATAGTAATTTAATTATCATCAATCTATAGAGAATATAACTTAAAGTATTAATTTATTGGGAATCATAAATCGATCAAAGTTAGACCACCATGAGAAACATGGAAGCACTGGAGGGCCGTTTTGTCCTGGTATGGGATTTATCAGCAGTGTGCATCCACGACTCCTGCACCTCGCAGGATCCTAACCCAGGATCTTCGGTCTTGTGCGCGAACGCCAAACCTCTGGACCACTGAGCCACTATCTATTATCAGTATAAAAATTAGATTTACCATATTTCATTAAAAAAAAATACTGATTAGGTCGCCGCATATGAATGTTTGATTATTGAACTTATTTTTTAATAACCGTCTCCTATTATTTTGAACACCAAACAATGATGTAGAAATATTAAATTGTTTATTTTTCAAATGTTTTTTCTGCTCTCACAGATTATTTTGCTGTTAAAAGACGACGACAGACAATGAAATAATTCACATGAAGTAACAATAAAGGTAAATTTTATTTTTCTTCTTTTCTTTACATAATAAAGTATTATTAGTGGCAACTTGCTTAAAATTAAGTTAATTTTGATGATAACTTTTATCATCATACACTTAACAAATCATTTTTTTTAAATTGCAGATTGACTATGAGTTTAAGAAGAAAAACAGTCATTGATAAAACTTAACCAGTGCTAGACAGTTGTTTCTTTTTGTTGAGTTTAATATTCCGACTGGTTAGCATACGACAAACCTGCGATTAGATCAGCCTACTTTAATAGTTTAAGGTGTTTCAGTTCACTTTGCATCAAAAGATCTCAATGTTTCAATCTATAACCATTGAACAAAAATTTACTGCATAAATCTCAGTCCCAATTCAGTCTTACATCTTGAAATTATTCGCCATGTTTTTGACAATGGCTACGTTACGCCTCCCGATGATCCAATCATTTAAAGTATTTTAACCATTGATGAATAGATCTCTGTGGTAGTGGTGTTTGGTTCTCTGAACTGGATGTTTTGGTTGTGAAGCTTTCATTGTTCTTCTGAACAACATCATCAGCACAAACTTCAGATAGAAGTGAAGCATTCGAATTTCTCCACGTTCGACCTGTAGCTTGTTCTGCTAACAGAACAAGCTACCACAATCATCCCACCTGAGCTACAAATCTTCTCCACCATCTCGAATAGATCTCTGTAGTTTGATATCATTTCTTAATAATCAAGATGATAAGTTTGCCACTATAGATATATAGTTGATGAAATCTATAAAATAATAACTTCCTTATTTCAGTCCGAACACAATAACTTTATGTATTGCTACTACTTCGAAGTCAACAACCCACATTTCCTGCTTCAATCAATTTTGCGATACAGTACAGCAATGATCATCTAATGCATTGCGATTGGACTTCATATCATCAGATAAAACTTTTGCATAATCAGTTATAGGCTTAAATTCCACTTAAGTATTTGTAAAATGGATATTTCTTTTTTGTTGTGAAATTACCGGGAAATTTTCTGCTTGTTTCCTAAATTAAACTATTCTCAAGGTTACAGCCTAAAAACATTTTATCCGTTATTTCTTTATTATGCCTTAAAATACCCTCCACACCACAGTTAATAAAAGAAACATATTTTTTAATGACTCATTCATTATAACAATAAAGACAGATGGAAATAGTTAGATTTCCTTTGTGTATATATATGCGTGATTAAACTTGACCCCCTGCCAGTCTGAAATAGTTGATTGGCAGAAAGAGAGGATCGTGCCTGTTTTCGTATATTAACAATCCCTATCTATTAATTAAAGAACTACGGTTAAATAGGAATTAACCTCCCTCCTCCCTCCTCCTCCCTTCCCTCTTGCATATATTTTCATCCCATATGGTGGGAATTTTTCTTTATTACACATTTATCCATCTGGTTTTTATGTATTTTCCTAATTAAATTGACTGTTTATTTTCCCTCTTGTGCACATATGTTTCTGTGTATCATCATACGTGTTCGCATCGATTGCAGATAAATGATTTCCTAAAAGTTTACAACTTCTTATTCACAAACCCACATACATACAAGTATGTCGTCTTTGTAGTCTAATTTAATTTATGTTATCTGTGTTGACCTGCACGTGTTCTTAACTGACATGTGGGATAAAAAGAAAACAGAACAGGATGTGTTCAATATTCAATGCACATTACATTAAGAGCATATTTATTTTCTTCAAATAATTCTTTATATTGATTAAGAATACTTGAGAATAATAATAATAATCATACAGCACAAATACATATATTCATTTTTGAGGCAAAAACTGAAGAAAATAAGAAAAATTATTAAGAAACGCACTGAAGCTTAAATTTGAATTTTCTTCAGTATGCTAATTAGATTGATTGAAATATTGTCTGCAGCGTAAAAACGAAGGATTAAAATAGAATGAACTTAACTTATTCGTTAATGGTTCTAGTTTATGAGAAAAGAGAAATCAACCAAGTTCTGAGTGAAAATGTATAGGAAATCCTCATTTAAAGTGTTAATAAGCGACAGTAGTCCCCATAGGATAACTACCATCATCAGTTCTATTCCAATGCGTCATAAACATGTCTACGCTGATGTTATCACTTGTATTTGACTTATGTAATCAATTGGAAGTATAGAAAGTGTTGAGAGTATTGTTCTAAATGCCTCAGAGTCTTAGTACTGGGAACTTTGTTAGCAAAGAATCATTGGAAAAGTGTATATCAGTTTGTCATTATTCATTTATTTTAGTATACTTAGAGGTTTACCCTGATATGGAGTCGAAACATCAGTTAATCAATATTTATGATAGACAAGGATTATTGGACATTGATCACATTTGTTAAGATTAAGAATTTGAATCAAACTTTTATAAATGATCCATGCATCCTACATATGGCTAGCTGTTTTCTTTGTCAATTTTCCTTTAGCCAACCTTCATACTTCTTGCTTTTCTACGAATTCAACGATTCCTTCTTTTTTATTTCCTATTGTACCATGATTTAGTTTATTTAGATTGCGTACTTCAAAATTGTTATATCTGCCTATGAATATAAGTTATTTTTTGATATGGACTAATGACTCAGCTGTTGATTTACTCGCTTCAATAATACTTGATTTTATTCCATGGTTAACTTCACAATTCATAATACTCGATGACAAAGTTAGTCAGCTTTGTATTTATCTAGAAAAATATTACAAAGTCTTAGCTATGTATAGTATTAAAATATTATTCTCAAGGTGAATAGAAACACAGCACTCACTTGTGATGTTAATCCTACTTCACGATAGAAACCATCATGTGACTTGACATTGCTTCTCAAATATAACATACATGTTATGACTACCTGTCAATAGAATTGTTATACTGAGCTAACAATAATTATAATAATGTGTTTAACGTTATCTGAAAACAATTGAAATTAACATTAACTGATTTGCAGAGAATATGATGAGTTGAACAATTGTCACTAGTAGTAATAACAGTAAAATTAGAAATGGACATTATACGTATGTCTATTCCATGTCCATATATATATGTACATACTGGTAATATCGACAATCAATATCTATTATTTACATTATCATGTTATTTATTAAACAATCTTTTAATTTTTACCAGTGTAAATATTATAAATATTTTAGTTACTATGTTAAAAAAAATTTTTTTTTCCACTCTATTAATTGAATATGTACACAAGTAACTAAGATGAATCATCATGATATGTATAAATATTTCCATTATGCCTGTGAATTGTAAGGTTAAGTTTATTTTCTTCACGGTCAAGGTCACAAAGTATTCTCTATTTACTTTAGAGTTGTTTGCATCTGTATTTTTATTCATCCATATTGGATTGTTTGAAATGAAAATAAATTCTTTGTCTGCTATAAGTTTATATTTCATGCAAGTTCATTCAATATATTTTCAGGCAGAGTTTGGTAGGTTTGTGTTATTACACATTTGAAATCATCAATCAATCATTGTTAGACCACCATTAGGAACCTGGAAGCCCTGGACGGCCGTTTCGTCCTGGTATGGGACTCATCAGTAGCAGTGTGCATCCACGACTCCTGCACCTCGTAGGATTCGAACCCTGGACCTTCGGTATTGTGCGCGAACGCCTAACCATTGGACTACTGGGCCGGCATTCAACGGTGTTAATGTCTATACAATAGCCAACTTAATTTTTTTTCTTGTCCTTATGTAGAAAATAATGTGTCAGCTAAAAGACTATGATGTGAAACGCCCAACCATCGGACCACTGGGCCGGCATCCAACGGTGTTTCCAGGTTTCTAATGGTGGTCTAACAATGATTGATTGGTGATTTCAAATGTGTAAAATTCAATATATACATTTACATATATCTATATCATTTATTTCACTGGATTAGACATCTCAATTCATATGTTCGATATTTTGAATTACCACTAAATAGTGCCAACAACCTCTCTACCACTGTGTTATTTCGACTTTAGTTTATGCCGAAATGTTGTATTTTATTTTTATATCATAAATTAATTATTATCACTATGATTATGTTGTTTTTTTTTTCAACTACATTTTAGAATATCAGTCAACTGAATAATGACAAAAGTAGGATGAAAAAACGTCTTTTCTCTGTCCCTCTCAATATCCATATCACGATGGGAAAAAAAACAAACACATTTTTTATTCAATAAAAAAAACACACACACAACACAGATTTATTTCTTTCTCTGTCCCATTTATTCATTATATTTTTTTCCCTTCCCTATTCTATTCCTATTATAAAGTAGTTATATATTAAACAATACAGATTTTATTATGTACTATTATTATTATTAATTATTAATATTATTATTACCAATAATATCATTAAAATTGTCTATAAAAAATGAAATGTTTTCTGTTGTTGTCGTCGTTTACAAACTATAGATTAGTTTATCGATTACAGTAATTATACTAATAAGTCTGTCAACTACAACGTCGAATTTTGTACGTATATACATCAGTTCCGATTTGTAAACTATATTAGCTCATAGACATGGGATTGTCATTTCAAATCTCATAGTAGTAGAGATAGTAGAAGTATTTGGGGGTAATGGAGAAAATTAGGGTTCGGGGATTTCTTGAAAGAAGTATAATCCAGTGAAATAAATTTAAAAAGAGAAAGATAGAGGTGATAAAGAATCCAGAAGATTAGAATTTGCGAAAACACAAGAATTGGATACACCTATGGTGGCCAGTGGTTTCAGTAGTTTCGTGACGGTCGGTATCTAACGTATTCTTAGATTTCATGTGCTACTCGTCCAGACAGCCGTTAGTAAATAGCCCCTCACGGTTTATAAATCAGAAGGCGAATACGAAGTGTTGAATACGTTTAATTGGCAAACCACAGGCACATGAAGTGAAAGGCAAGCAAGCTAGCGAGTGAGCGGATTGGCGAATGTATTGATAAGATTAAAATGTACATATATATACATAGGAAAATGGTTGAGTCATCGAAAAACTTAAGAGGTTAACATTAAAACAAGTAGGGATGAATATTTACGTATGCGGTAAGCAATATTCAGTTGTACCAGTTCATTCAAACCAGACAATAATAAAAGCCGATGGTACATATAATTTATTGCTATACAGATGACTCGGTTAAATAAGTTAATCAAAAGGCTTAACCAAATTAAATACGGACGAACAAGGTAGTCTACAACTACTAACATGGCTCAATCCAGTTGTCAGTGACTTCATGGATTTCCGCCATGTTTTGGTATGACTGCCCTTAGCTTCCTTCCAACCTAATTCTACACCAGAAAAGATCACTCGACGAGGTAGTCGGTGGTTAGGCATACGTAACACATGTCCCAAACACTTCAACTGAAGTCTCAATACTTCATCTATTGACCTCCCATCATTCACTAGTACCTTTTCCTAACTCCAGCATTGCTTACTCAGTGGTCCCAGGATATTTGAGCAATGCTTTTAAGACGCTTATGATTGAAAACCAGTAGACTAAGAATGTCCTCGCTTCTTACTGGCCATGTTTCACAGTCATAAAGTAGGATGAAGCGAACTACTGCGCAGTGCACTCGTGTCATGTTTGGGCTGGTTGCCCTTACTTTTCTTCCAACCTATTCCCATACCACAGTGCGTCACTCGTCAAGGCAGTCGGCGGTTAGGTATACGTAACACATGTCCCAACCATCTCAAATGATGTAGACTCACCACTTCATCAACTGATTTACCATCCTTACCTAATACTCGTTTCCTAACAACTGTATTGCTAATTCGATTGTCTCAGGCTATACAAGCAATGCATCGAAAATACCGATGATCAGATACTAGTATTCTACGAATATCTTCAACTCTTAATGGCCATTTCTCACATCCAAAGAGTAGGACAGAGTGAACAGCTACTCAGTACTCGTCCTTTAATTAGCAGATGGATATCTCGCCTACACCGTAAGTGACTCAAGCTGGCAAAAGCCAATCAAGCCTTCTGTAACCGTGCTGAGATTTCGTCAGTTACCAGGACATCAGGATCTACGAGACTCGCAAGAAAAGTGAAGCGGTCAGCACACTCAATTACTTCACTCCACATCACATTACACTAATCAACCGATGTTGATTAGCTAGTTATCAAGTTTATGATGTACTATCCAGAACGCGGATCAAATTCTGTCAACTAAATGTCTATTATGACTATTTTAACTTAATCGATATCAGCTAAGAAAATTTTGCTTCATTTTAACCATTTGTGTGTTATTTTGTAGAAATACACTTATAGTCTAACTGTAATGTTACTTTAGTATTTGAATAAGACATTAGGTGCTTCAAGATAACAATAATATTTAACTAATTCTATCGTAAAACTGAATAGTAGTAAAAATAAAAATGATCTTGAAGTCACATTTCACATAGTTAAGTAAAATCTGTAAAAATCGTAAGTATTTCATCAGAGAAATAAGGAATCCTGTAAAAGTATAAGGATTTAAGATAGCTTACTATCAGTTTTCTAATCGTATTAATGAGGAAATATACTAATTTGAATATAAAAAAAGATTCTTTTCGTATCTGTAATTTCTCTGAAGGGTTAACAAGATACATTTTTAAGGTAATGATGATATAAGAAGAGTTATGTGTAAAAATTGTGATATATATATATATATATATATATATATATATATATATATATATATATATATATATATATATATATATATATATATTCATACATTATTAGCTGGCTAATCATTCGATGATTTACTTAGAATTAACATTCAATAAAAGACCTTGAAATATGCAATATCTCTATATCACATATCGTTTGTTTCCGAGAAAATATTTTTCTCATCAATTGTCTCCATTTTGAACATGTTATAAAGCACATTTCTTTATTTTTAGCTTCGCACATAATAAAGTCACGTACTTTTGAATTTCTTCTTAAATATAATAGATAGTTTTCTGAATTTTCAGTAATTCATCTACTCACCTTAGTATAGAGTTACATTAGCTGGACATAATTAAACTTAGGGGTCTCTGATTGAATAAATATAATACAAAGGAAACCAATTCGACTTAATCATTATTTTTATTTCAATGTTACAATCATATTGTTACATTGAAAATGATTGTTATTTAACGATAAATTATGTATTGTGCATAGTAAATAAGACAATGACTTATGAAATATACTAGTTGATAATGAGTGAGTGACTAAATATTAACCACATCAATTTGATGATCTACTCTCTATAGTGCAACATTATTTTCTTCGTCTCAAACAATTAATCGATAATATATTTGATAGAGGCTTCTTCGACACTAAACTGCAAAATCGTGAGTGAAGGATAGCTCACAAACTCGTTCCAAGTGAAGATCAGTTTCAAAAAGGGTCGTTTACTCTCATCATTTTGATTTCTCCTAGTGGTTGACTGAATTATGAAGGCTTTAGCATCTGAAGAAAAGCACTAAATACGATGGACAGTTTGGAGGCAGATGATCTAGTTCTTCTCTCTCACAGGAAACAACAAACAGTAGAAGACTGCCAGTGTAGCAGTAGCACAATCAACCTCTGAAGCAGTAGGCCTCAACATACACAAGAGAGAAAGCAAAACCCTTCGATACAATGCAGTATGCATTAACCAAATCACACTTGACGGTTAAGTTTTGGGAGATGTGGAAACTTTAACATATCTAGACAGCATCATTGATAAACAAGGTAGATCTGATGCAGATGTAAAAACACGGATTAGTAAAGCAAAGACAGAATTTGTGCGTTTGCAAAACATCTACAACACGAAACAACTGTCAACCAACACCAAAGTCAGAATTTTTAATACGAACGTCAGAACCGTTTATTTTAAGGAACGGAATCTTAGAGAACTACGAAAGTGATCTGTCAAGAGATACATGTGTTTATGAGCAGTTGTCTACTCAAAATGCTATGGCTCCTTTGTCCAAACATTATAAACAACAACAACAATTTGCTATGGTAAAGAACATGCTTTCAGCTGAGGAAAATATTAGGAAAAGATGCTGGATTTGGGCAGAGCTCATTGTTTAACTCACCCAACTGTATCACAAGGCGAACCGTAAACTTCAATCCTCAAGGGTAAAAGATAAAGGAAGACCAAGGACACATTATGCCGAGAATAGGAAGTAGACATGGAAAGAATGCACAGCAATTGGATGGAACTGGGAAGAAAGTTCCGGACGGAGTAAGCTGGGGAATGCTGGTCGATAGCCTATGCTCCATCAGGGGTAACAGGAGTAAGTCAGTAATCCCTTTTTTATATACAACCTATTCAACCATTCATATCATCGTTGTTCACAATTTGTTAATGATTCACTATACACATGATATAAAGCTTAAACAATATGGTTTCATTTATTATAAAATTTGTAACTAAATTAGAAGTATTTATTTAATCATTTTATACTTTGAAGTTAATTGATTTTTATCGCTATCAGTGTATCAAATAAATGTTGATTTAACTAACAAATAACTTTGTAATTTGTACAATGTGAATGTTTAATACTAGTCTCTGCTCTTATCCGAAATCAATCGCCTAGACTGCAAGTTTATAGGCTAACAATTGAATCCAGGATGTGAATTTTTGCCCTTTTTTGTAAAGAAAAAAAACCATTCATTAATTATATCTCAATGACTCAGTATATCACAAACTATTAAGATTTTTTTTAAATATTTCTATTGGTTAATCATTTTTTTTGTTTTAAATAGAGAGCGTGTACAATTTTACACGAGATGATTCATCATTTTCACTAAAATATAAAATTTGATTAAATTGGTACAGTGTTGTTTACAATAAACAGGTTTTTACATATTCATACTTAGAAATCTTCATAATTTTCTCATTATTATTTATTGTGGTCGTCAACTTTTAATAAACATGAATAAACAAGATTAATTTCTTTAGAAAATAAATTAACCATAGAAATCAGTGTCATTTTGATCAAACTAGATCAAAATACAGAGTGATCTAAATCATGCACACACAAATACACACACAAACAAACGAAAAGACAGATCAACCATTTTATACACTAGTCGATCGTAGCTTCATGTTTATTGGGCCTCAAACATGTACACTTTTGTCTATGCTTAAAATATGATCATGTATCATGTGATATACGATTGATCTAGGTAAGGCCTAGACTTAGATTTAATCACGTGATTGACCTAACCAAGTCAAACAGACTATGTATATATCCCATGATTAAAAATGCATAATTCATTTGTGAATATATGTTAGGCTGTTATCTATAGTGTCAGAGATAAAATAATTACATTCAAAAATATCGTGCAATTCATTATAGAAAATAAGATTAGGTTTAAACAAACACAA